ATTTTGATTATGAGGAAAAGGTCGTCATGAGGGATTACATTGCGTATATAATTAGCAAAAAAAAATCCTAGAAATAAGAGTCATGTCTCCTACAGAACAACAATCATTGTCTATAGAGTGAATGCCTCTTCCAAAGTCTAACGAACAAATTGAGGATCAGGTAAGGAAGAAGAAATATGAGTCTCTGTTCTAGGAACCGCATTATAAGTCATACATATATATATATATATGTATATATATATATATGTATATATATATGTATGTATATAAGTATATATATATGTATGTATGTATATATATATCTATAGATATAGATATATATTCTGCTCACCTTGAGGCATTGAAACATCATTAGAGAAATCAGAAAGAAGACAAGTTATGGAAAACGAGTGATGGAGATCTCCATGTTAAGTTGTAACTGATTAGCAGAATGAAAAAGTCCTCTTGAGGGGCCATCATAGAAGTCTTAATGGAAAAGAAATAAGTATTTTATCTATTTTGGAAACCAAGATCTTCAATTTTAGTATGAACGTAATCTTCAATTTGAATATAATGAACAGAATCATTGGCAAATTTACTGTGAGTAATGTCATGCCCAAAGATGTGAAAATGATTGCAAAACCTCAAAATTGTCTTAAGATATTCATTATCTTGAATACTAATTCAAATAGTGTCCTCAAAAGTTTCAGTGAAACCAATTTCTTCTAAAAAAAGAGCAACAAGGGATATCAACATGTAATGGATTATGAAGCATAAATCCAATAGAATAAAGCATAGACTGCTTAAAGAGGTGAAATCTTAAGTGGAATAAATCTATCAGAATTGATGCAATAGGAATTCAAGTGGATAAGTCAAAATAAGAAACCATTTTACCAAACTAGATAAAAATTTCATAAGAATGAACAATATTGATTTACCTTGATAGGATAATGGAGGAATATGTTGAATGCTGTAATTTAGAAAATAAAGTTGATTGCCTCGGTCTTTATACTCAACAAAAAAAGAGTGCTTGCCCAATCGATATTAAGCCACTTGAGCAAAGGCAACCTACTAGCTGTAGCGATTATGGGAGAAGGAGGCGGATGATATTATCAGAGGCAGGTTTGGCAAATGAAGTTAGCAACGTTGGGCTAGATGAGGTGATTCAACTTAGACTTGAAGGTCCAACGAAAGCTATAAACGGATAAAAGAGCTTAAGGCTTGGAGAAACCTGCAAGGGAGGAGCCTCTTCATTGCAAAAAAAGCTGTAAACACCCTAAGGCCAATAAAAATGGAAGGCTCAAAAGCAATCTTGGAGCACTTGTAGGTTGAAGATAAGCTCAAGATGACAAACTCAATAAGTTCAAAAATACAAAATTAATATTCAAGGTCCATTAGCTTAGGGGTGTTTATAAAGATATATTTCAATATATATCGTGTCAATTAAAACCCATAGATATTTGTTTATAATTACTCCAAAATATATTTTAAACATAATAAATTTATTGCATATTTTTAAATAATTAATGCCAATTAAATTTGTTCAACTTTTCATATTTAAGATTTTATTGTAAATATTTTGCACTAGTTTTATTAATTTTCAATTAATGATAAACTTTTTATTTTTGGCCAAAAATTTAGAAATATGTTTCATTTATCATAGTACTAATGTATTAAACTTCATTATTTAAAGGAGTGTATTCCTATATTTCAAGGTATTTTTGCAATGATTGATTAAAATCTAGAATTGCACAAAATTGAAATTTAGACCTGCTTTGGAAAATATTTGTTAAAACAAGATCTCTTAGTTTACTATAGTGTTTTATAATAGCATGCTAACATATCCAAGTTATTCCAAAAAGTTTCACTTTTTCTAGGCTATTTAATATAGCTGAAAAATCTTATAGATTTAGAAACATCATTTGTCAAGAAATTCAACTAAAAGATCTATAACAACTAGCTTGACATTGAAGATTTTTTAGGTAGCAAATGGAAGATGTTCTTGGCCTCTTTGAAGCTCCATTTTTATTATAATTGTGGGATCATGAGCACAATCATTTTTTTTGGAATTGTAAATGATAAATTAAAAAGTATGCAGCTCGAACTCAAAACCTTAAAAATAGAATATTCTCCTTTATACAATGAGCAAGGAGTGCTTTCACAATAGCCGTTCAAGATATGAAATGAGAAGTCAGATCATTTAGAGAAAGGTCTAAGGTATTCAAGTAGAAAGTCTCCTTAAGGTTTTAGCAGGCTCTCTCTCCCTCCCACCCCACCTCTCCCTCAGTCCCTCCTTCCCTCCCCAACTATATGTAGACGGTTGAAATCATAGTAAAGTTAATAAATTAAGATGGGATGAAACAAATACTTTATATCTTGCTAATATAACCATAGTTTTACTCAAAAAAAAATATTTTTTATGAACATTTGATATATTTGAAAAATCCTATAGAATAACAAGCATTATTTGTCAAGAAATTCAACTAATATATCAATAACAACTAGCTCGAACTTGAATATTTTTGGATAGCAATTGGAAGAACTACTTGGCTCTTTGAAGCTCCAATTTTGTTATAATTGTGAGATTAAATGAGCACAACAATTCGTTTTTTGGAATGATGAATGATAAATTACAAAAGAAATACCTTGGACTCATTAAGATGGAAACACAATATTTTCCTTTAGCCAATGTGCCACACGTGCTTTTACAATGACAATTCAAGATAATAAATGAGAAGTTTGATCTTCTAGAGAAAGATCTAAGCTATTAAAGTAGAAAGCCTCCTTAAGGTTTTAGCCCTCCCTTCCTCCTCAACTATATGAGGAGAAATTATTGTAAAAGTTAAAAAAATTAAAGAGGGATGAAACAAGTATTCAATGCTAATACATCAAAGTTTTTACAAAAAAATAAAATAATAAAAAATTATAAAAAAACATTTCTAACGAACATTTGATATATTTGAAAATCATATAGATTGACAATCATTATTTGTTAAGAAATTTAACTAATAGATTTATAACATCTATCTTGACTTTAAAAATTTAGAAATTGGAAGAAGCTTTTGGCCTCATTGGAGTTCCAATTTTATTATAACTTTTGGATTAAATGGGAACAACCATTCTTATTTTGGGAACAAAGTATGTAGCTCAAACTCATAACCTTAGAAATAGAATATTTCCTTTAAACAATATGTTGTGAGTGATTTCACAATGACTATTCAAGATATGAAATGAGATGTTCCATCATTTAGAAAAAAATCTAAGGTATTAAATCAGAAAGTATCCTTAAGGTTTTAGCAATCTTCCACTCTCCCCCTCCCTCCCTCCTCAATTATATGAAGTGGAATCATTGTAAAGGTTATTAAATTAAGGTGGGATGAAACAAATATCTAAAAAATAATAGCACATATAGTAAGAGTATATGCTAGTAGCCTAGTAATGGTACACTGAGGCGTTGGTTGGTTGCAAGTATTAGCCAGGATTCATGTTAAATCCTTACCAAATAATTTTTTAGCCCGCTACCTTCTTACCTTCATTTTACTCTCATTTTAGGATAAATCTCATATATAGTAAATCCTAGTAAAGTAGAATTTACAAGATTTATTTATCCATATAGTGCCTCTTATTCTCATTCATTTAAAACATAAATTTTAAGAATATCAAAAAAATAATTTACTATGAATTCACTATGTTTAACATTCATCAAGCAAAATGGGCTTTAGTATCGAATGCCTCCAGAATTTACTAAATGCATCTTGTAGCGAAACAACCCCAATGTCAAAGGCCAAAAAAACTAAAGCAAAAAATTATCTATATAATTCGAGTAAAGTTGGTCGGGCATCTATTTATCAGTTGTAAGTCCTCTCTAGTCTGGGGTTCGATTCCCCTCGAGTGTAGAGTGTGGTACTCGAATTATAGCCGCATGAGGATAATCGGGTATATATATATATATATAGACACACACACACACACATACTAAGCATAGAAAGGACAAATTTCATAAAGGAACTTATTTATTAATTGTTTTTGCAATTGAAATCATAATAATAAAAAATAAATAAGTAGAGGCAAAGATGTGGGTGTAACTCACATTTCAATTAAAAATTATTTTTTTTGTAAAACACATCAACAGTTGCACTTTAGATAAAAAAATAAATTTAAATTAATATGTTAATTTTTTGCCAATTTATTAAAACTATTTTTTAATTCAAAAATTAAAATTCTAAAACTATGTAAATTAAGAAAAGGTTAGGATGAAGTTATATAGAAATGAATGAAATTAAATTACTACAGTTATATTATTTATTAATTTATGTATAAGTTTAAATTAAATTGAAAATATATTTAGTTTTGTTGTAAACTGGAGAAAAGAATTAAAGAAGATGAAGATGAACACTATTTGCGAGAAAGACCACTTTGAGCATCATCAAGATAGATTTTTGGAACATGCACCAAACTTCTAATTTAGACATTTATAAAAAAAAAAGAAGTGCAAATCACAACAAACCTAAATAAAAAATAAATCCTTAAATTAATATAAAATCTAAGTTAGAACTAACAATAAAAATAGATGAAATTATAATTAAATTTAAGACCTAACTTCAAAAACAAATTAATTCATTATTTTCAGATCATAAAATAGTTAAACATTTTTTTTTAATTTAGATTAAACTTATACATAAATAAAAAATAGATCTATAGTGATTTAATTTCATTTATATCTATATAACTTCATCCTAAAATATTCTTAATTTACATAATTTTAAAATTTTATATATTAAATTAAAAAATAGTTATTATAAATTGGCAATAAAAACTAACAATGTAATTAAGAAAATATTGTTTATGTAATACGCAACTCATAGGTACATTTTATATAAAAATTTATTTTATGCGACTATTTAATTTTTCTTTATGGTTCCAAATATAAAAGTAATTAATAAATAGATTTCTTTTTAAAATTTGTCTGCATAACAATTAACTTCAATAAAAAAGCAAACAGGTCAGGCATAGAAGATTACCCTTGAAGGAGGACGTGGGTTTCTCGGAGAAAGTCACCGACGCCGAGTGCGTCGAGGGCTTTCCAGGCATTGGGCCATGCTAGGATAGCGAAGCCGGCAGCTCGGAGGGAATCGGAGGACTCCAGCACCAAGCTTCTTATACCCTTCCTGCAACAAATCTATGAAATCAGCAATCAGAGAAGTAATTAATTTAATTTGTGTTCAAAAAAAAGAAATAAGAGAGAAATTAAAGGAGAGCAAGGGAATCAATATAAGAAGAAGAAGCACGCACCGGTGAAGGCCGAGGGCCGTGCCCAGGCCTGAAACTCCTGCACCAACAATCACCACTTCTTCAATCTTCTCCATTCGTTTTTACGTGTTGGGGTACGTTAACCTCCGGACAAGAGAGGGGGAGTGGAAGAGGTAAAGGAGAGGGGAGTAGTGGGTAGTGGCAGCAGATTGGTGACTAGCACGAAGCCCGTCATTTTATAGTACAATAAAGGGTATTTACATAAATACTACCCAATTCTATATAATTATATATGTGGCATCTAAAATTCATTTTCCTTTATTTTTTACATTTACATCTTCAAAATATTTCATATTACGTAAAAAAATATTATTATTTTAATTAAAAAATAAAATAAAATACACCTATTCGAAGGTGGGGTGCATGTAAAAATTAAAGTTTAGATGTTTGATAGATTGTTTCTTTGAATTAAGTGATATGTATGTAAAATTTTTTTAAAATAAAATATATACAAACTTTTTATATATTACTAAAAAATTTATATTAATTTGTTAAGAAAAATAAAGTGCCAAATTAGTCATCAATTATTTATAATGGCTAGTTTTAATCCAAAATTTTATAGAAGTGTCAAAATTATCTGTTGATCTTTAAATTGAGTCTGAAATAGTCTTTTGAAATAATTTTCGTAAAAAAAAAACTATTAGAATTTAATTTTAAAATAATAATGATTATTTTGACAATTCTATAAATTCTGAGATGTGTCTAATTATATAGTCAGTGTTGAGTGTCGTAGAACTCAGTTCACTATTTCGATTTGGCAGTCTACTATTTGATTTGGCAGTTTCGTCATCTATGAAAGTTAATTAAATTACATTGAATTAATTCATTTTATATTATATCTCTTTTGATTATTCCCTGTCGCCTTTCTCTATTCTCGTCTCCGTCTTTTAGCTAATAAGGTTGTTGCCTTTGCGGTGAATCAAGGAATTAATCTATTAGTTTTTTGGTGTGAAGGAATTAACTTTAAATTTATTGCAGTAGAGGTGTAACAAACTGATTAATTCTTTGCGAAGTTTCAGAGTTGTACAACTCTGAAACTGTCTACAAAATAAATTAATCAGGTTGTTACACCTCTACTGCAAACTATAGCAGTAGAGGTGTACAACCTGATTAATTTGTACACCTCTACTGCTATAGTTTGCAGACAGTTTCAGAGTTGTACACCTCTACTGCTAAGTTTCAGAGTTGTACACCTTCTCTACCCATCCATATTATTTTGTAGACAGTTTCAGAGTTGTACACCTCTACTGCTATAGTTTGCAGGTCGGTCAGAAATAGACGTTCTCCTCAGTATTACTCACAAACACTAAACTACATTTTATTGACAGATGGTCAAGAAAAATAGAGTTATGAAGATACTTTGCAATATGAAAATTCGAGCAAGTGGGGCTAGCCATGAAAGAGGAGAAAGTATTACACAACAAAGTTGGTGTACCGGGTGAAAATTGAGCATGATGACAGTAAGAGGTAAAAGACTAGACTTGTTGTAAAAGGCTTTCAACAAAGGCCGAACATTGATTATCCTGAGATCTTTTCTTGTGTGATGAAGCTCACAACCATCAGAATGATACTGTCTATGGTAGCTACTGAAGATCTATTCCTTGAGCAGTTAGATGTGAAGACAGTCTTTCTTCATGGAGACCCTGAAGAAGACATCTACATGCACCAGCCTGAAGGGTTTGTGGTACAGAGAAAGGAATATTTAGTGTGCAGACTGAAAAAGAAGTTGTATGAACTGAAGCAAGCTTCTAGACAGTGATATAAGAAATTTGATAATTTCATGCAAAATATAGGGTACACCAGATGTCAGACAGATTGTGACTGCTAAGTCAGGCACTTTGACAATTCATACATTATTCTACTATAGTATGTGGATGAAATGTTTATTGCAAGGGCTAATATTGATGAGATCAATAATCTGAAGAAGTGGATGTCAGAGCACATTGCAATGAAGAATTTGGGAGCTACAAAGCAAATTCTTGGCATGAGAATTTTTCAGAGATAGAGTCAGAGAATGGACAAATTGTCGAACCACATAAATCTATGTGTTATTTTTTGTTTATGAATTTCTCAAAGCAATAAATTCCTCTGTAACTCCTTGGACATGAACAAATTGCCGAACCAAGTAAATATGTGTGTTATTTTCTATTTGTGAATTTTTTGCTCTAACTTTTTACTTTATTGCCGTCATTTTTCACAGCAGGGACTACTTTGACACGTTTCTCTTTATACATTTAAAATTCTAATTTAAATAGGCATCCTACTTATATTACTCTAAAAAGTATCATTAAGGATTTCATATTTTATTTAAATTTGTGTCCTAACCATTAAAGACTGAGTTATATCACGTGCGAAAACTTTTTTGGGCCCAACTTTCATATCAGTGGCAGAAAAAAGAATAATTCTCATCCTGATTTTCCAAAAAGAGAAAAAGAAAAATTTAGTGATCTGATTAACCGCTAAAAATTTTTCTTGGAAGTGTAGCATTTGTCATTAAGAAAATAACTTCAAATGGTGAAGTCTGACTTTACAAACGTATTTCAATGGAATTTCATCCAAAGCAAAAGCAAATGAAATCTATATCTTGAATAAAAGAAAACGGCAGAATGCTTAGAACTCATTAATATTTTGAAATGGGTGTAATATATATATATATATATATATATATATATGCTTTATTTTGAGCTTATCTTACAGGTCTTGAAACTCATCCCATTTAAAAATTTGGCTAGATTTTGAACCTGATTTTCTTCATTTGTGTTAATTTATGTCGCAGAAGAATTGAAAATGGGCCAAAAATTTTGATGATTGAGTCCTTAGCTTAACCCTAAAGCAAAAATTCCCTTAATTTTCTAAAGGGCTCATTGAGAAAATTTTTATTTTTTTATTTTATTTTTTATTTATGTTTGATTTAAAGTAGAACATATTTGATAGATCTAATTATTTTTAAAAACACTCAAAATATTTTTAGGCATTTTGACTGTATTTAAAAATAAATCAATTTATTTTTAAGAAAATAAAAATTTATAAAAATTAAGGTATTTACATACCTACCATCTAAAATATCAAATATAACGTTTTTGCACCTGAAAAAAATTTACATTTTAACCACTCAAAATTTTATTTCTTTTTGAAACAGGAGTCAATATTTGAAGTTTTCGATAATAGATAAGTAGAAATTTCATAAAAAATTATATCAATCAAATATATAATGACAATATTAATAATAATTAATAGTAATATCAAACTGGCCTTAAATATTTTATTTAGAATAATAATGTATCTGTGACTCAAGCACTAAATTGTTAAAATTTATTATTAAATTATGAGATCAGATTTTAGTTAAATTACATTAAATTTATGTTCAAACACCATAATTAACTGCTGGTAAATAAGCTGGTACTGTCTTTATAAACATAATTAACAATTGCCTTTAATAAAGTTATTTAACTAACTAAAATATGGTATATTAATACCACATCATAACAAAAAATCATCAATACATTTATGTTAAATGTAGCCCCGGTTTTTATTTTTTATTTTTTATTTTTTCATCCTATAAAATTCATAGCGCATTGCCGCCTTTCAAAAGAGCTCTTCGAGATGGTTGACAACCAATGACTTAAATACTGTTTTTCAGCTTTTCACCTAGTCGATGTGAGATTTTTTATTCGTGACATTCTCCTTCAACCAATCACATGACGCCCTAATCATGGATCCGTTCCTCCGAGGATTTCACAGGACCATGGAGAGTCCACACACCTGACAGAGTGTAATCTGCTCTGATGCCACTTGTCTCATCCCAAAAGAGCTCTTAGGGGTGATGAGCGGCTTAAAATTTAAATATTATTTTTTTGACATTACACCTAGCCGATGTGAGGCTTTTTGTCCATTAAAGCATGTTACTATCTTTACATTTTAAAATATTATAAGAATAAATTTAAAAGGCATTAATCGAAGTAAATCTTTTTCACATACTCGTAGATGTTTTCTCCAACAAATGAACGGGGAGGATAAGAGCGTCAGGGGGCGGCCGCACAATTGAGCACTAACATTTAGAAATGGACGGTGATATTTGGACTTTTCTAGTTGGTAATTCAAGACTTAAGTTTGTTTGACTGCAAAACAAGAAAAAAATTGTTCTTTTAGTGATTTCGGCTCCCTTGTTCGGCCAGCTGTTATTTTTTTAATATTTTTATTCTTATCCTTATTATTTTATTATTTAGACGTTTAAAAAAAAAACATTGGTTTTTTTTTTTCCAGGCGATTTCTCATACAGTGCCTAGATTTTCTTGATTTTATTTTCTTTCTTGTTGAACATAAAGTATTCTTCAAAAAGGTGAATTCACAATGAAAGTAAATGATTCTGGAGATAACATTCAATGCATTAAAATCTATGAAGTATTCTTCTATGGGAAATGAGGATGAGTATTTTTGGATGAATTTAATTGATTATTTGTGTTATAGTCATTTTTTGAGAAACTTATGAAAGTAAATCAGAAGAGCAAGATTTGGATAAAGAGAATATTTTAGATTGTTAGGATGAATCTTCTCTATTAATTGCTGATAATTCCAAAGTTATTTAGGAGTGGTTTTAGATTCTTGATACAACAGAAAATAGTGAATCACATGTTCCTTCTATTTAGAAACCCCCTAAACTTAAAATGAAGGTGTTTCCCAAATACCTCATATATGATTACTTAAGAAGTCATTTACATTACATGTTATCTATCCTTAGATTCAACTCACTTGCAAGAGGAGAAATTAATGAAAACTCTGAGGAATTTTATGAAAGCATTTGAATGGATCTTAACTGATATTAAAGGAATTAGTCCCTTTATATGTACGCACAAAATCCTGATGGAAGATAACCATAAATCTAGGGCGGATGCTCAAAGGAGATTAAACCCAATAATGAAAGATGTCATTAAAAACAAAATTATAAAATGACTGGATGCAGATATCATCTATCATATTCAGATAGTGCATGGGTTAGCCCTATCTATTTGCCGGTCGTCAAATTAGAATTTGTTTGTTGCTTTGAAAATATAATTTAATATATATATATATATATA